TTCGACATGGCTAATGTAGTAAATATCCCCCGAGGCTGCTTATCTCAAATCCTCTCCAGTATGAATCCGATCATTGGCACCCCCGCCAAACTAGCGACCTGGGCAATGGAACCATGTGACTCCGCACTTGGAAACATCGCTTTCTTTCGCTCATCCGATTTCTCACTTTGTATATACTCTACTTCTTTGGCGGTATACGACACTGGATTCTGCAAAAATGACAAAGATAGACCTATCCTCGTTCCAGCGGGCAAACGAAGCGGTTTCTTATCTCAGAGCCAAGTTGCCAGAGACCTTGCAAAAGCCTCAGGTCGCAATTGTATGTGGCTCAGGACTAGGAGGGCTTGCAGATACCATTCAACCCGAGTCACGGATTGAATTCGACTATGCATCCATCCCTCATTTCCCTCGCTCAACAGGTCGGTCACGTTCTTCGTCCTCAGGGAAGAGTTTCTAACATTCCGCAGTCGTTGGTCACGCTGGAAAGCTGGTTTTCGGTCTTCTCGGCCAAAAAATCCCTGCGGTGTTGATGGTTGGCCGTGCCCAGTCAGCTTAAGCCCTCATTCTGCTTGTAATATCACAACTGACCTTGGCCTAGTTACTATGAGGGGCACTCGATTGATCAGGTGGCATTCCCAATTCGAGTGTTCAAGCGGTTGCAAGTGGATACGGTTGTCTGTATGTTCTACATTACCCTTAATAATATGAAGACTGACGTTACAGAACAACGAGAATTAATGTTGTTTGGTAGTGACCAATGCGGCCGGAGGTTTGAACTCTGAGTATGCTGTGGGGGATATTGTTCTATTGAATGATGTAAGAGAGACCGTCAAATCCTTTGAGCGGAGTTATTCTAACACCGGGTTACAGCATATCTTCCTCGCAGGTTTGGCAGGAACTCATCCATTGAGAGGACCCAATGAAGAAGAATTTGGAGTGCGGTTCCCACCCCTGTCTGACGCCTATGACCTTGATCTCCGTCGCCATGTGCATCAGTCATGGAAGAAAGTCATATCACCGGAAAGCAAGAGAAAGTTGCACGAGGGTGTATATGCATTCTGCGGAGGTCCCACGTAAGTCGACACAACACAATTTTTTTCGAATCCGATTCTGATAGCACCCAAGTTACGAGACAAGAGCCGAGAGCCGCATGCTTCGAATGCTTGGTGCCGACGTGGTTGGAATGTCCACAGTACCGGAGATTGTCACTGCCAGACATTGTGGTCTACGAGTGCTTGCATTCAGTTTAGTCACTAACAAGGCCGTCTTGTCTCCTGTGCCTCGGGGAGATGATGACTTGCTTCAGAATAAAGCAGCAGGAGAACTGAGCGCTCTTCTGGAAGAGGGCATGGCAGGACACGAAGAGGTTCTTGAAGCTGGCCGCGCGGCAGCCATTGACATGCAGGTAAGATCGTTGCATCAATCCTTGGAAGACGATGAAATTAACATCGATCCAGAAACTGGTTGTCGAAACCCTTGTAGATGTCTTTGATCAAGTGTAAGACTGGGCTTGACACAGATGAATGCATATGATGATCTCAGACCGTGACGATCTGGGGTCCAGCTTATTAGGACCCTAGCAGAGGCAATTTCGTTGAGGTGTCGGCCACGGCCAATATGGTGTTGTTGTTGTTGTTGCCATTCAAGGCATAATTGACGCAAGTAGATACCGAAATCTCACTTGTTTTTCCGGGTTCTCTTTGCCTTCAGGTCCTTGTAGAAGGACTTCTTTCCACTTGATTTGCTGGCTTGAATGTCCCTATATTTAGACTCAAAGCGCTTGGTGCCACGCTCGAGTGCCAATGTTTCCTCAACGAAGTTCTTCTTGCGGTCCTTCTTGGTGATACGGTTGCTGAAGAACTCTGTAGGGCCCTCGATGATGGTTCCGACCTGGGAATATTCTGGTGGTTTGGCCTTGCCATTTTCCTTCTTGTAGTGACGCTTGGGATCAAGCACAGAACGCATCCGAATGAGCTGCAGATCTCTCTTAAGCTCTGAGGTCATTTCTGTCTTTGGGAGGTTGAACCACTCAGGTCCAGCAGTAGGCTTGTCCTATCAAGGTGAGGGTTGTTAGCAAATAGCCACACATGTCGCACACCGAGAAAATATAGAAATTATGATGAATGCTCAGAGTAACTATGAATAAAAGGCTCTCATTGGTGCAGCACAGCCCAAGACGGGCTGGTTACGCTGCATCAAGCGCTTCGCGTTGGGAATATTTTCCTCATAGCAAAAAAAAAAGAAAGGAAAGTAAGCAAGGACGAGATTGACTCACGGTGTTCGCTTTCTTGATCTCAACAGTGCGAAGAGAATTAGCCAACTCCTTCTGCTTTTGATCGGTGATCTTTGCAGCATCGACAGTAGCAACATCATCTCCCTGGACAATGTATGATTCCAGCGAGGACCCAGGTGACAATTTCGGGATCCTAGGAGGAGGTTAGCCTAGATCCTAGCACGTTGGTCTTCAAATTTCCATACCTAAGAGATGCCAGATCATCAATCTGGGTGCTTGGCGCATTGAGGCCTTTTAGTCGAGTCTCTGCCTCTAGAAGCAACTGCTGAATCTGATCATCGGTCAGGTCTTCCTGAACATCCGTCACACATGTTGAGTCAGCCATCCCTGGTGAATAGGAGGACAAAAGCTCAAGAGGTTTAAGGTGAGTGGAGAGAATTTATATTTTTTTCTTAGGTTTGCTTGCTGCTTCCCGGGGCCGGACAAACGTTTATGAGAAATTTCTGCTTAGTGCGAGAGTGGAGTTGGGATCATGTGACAGCACTACTTCTTTCCAAGGTACAGTTACAAGTACGTCAGCCGTTTCCGAGCGAAGGGTCAAGTACTGCTACTTATGCGCGTTGTACTCCCCGAATAGTACAGCTCATGTATTGAAACATTCACCTATCAGAGCTATTTGTCTAAATATTCTTCCCAGCTCTGGAGATTATATACATTGCAATAGAGTAAAACAATGCTTTACAACAATTGAACTATTTTAAATTAGACCTGGTTAGATGCAATGAGAAACCCATATTACTATCTTGGATATAAACCCCCTATATCACATCCATACATTGTATAGGTATTATACAACATCGAGCTCGGAGGGGTGGCCCCGAGGAACGTCAGACAGCTGAACACCTCTAGCTTAGCACACAACGCGCCTTGACCTGGAACACAACAAGCTTCATATAGTCTGTGACTGTAACACTCATCCGATTATCGATTCTATATCGCGTTCATTCGTTCTTTGTTCTTAGATCCTCCACCCCGCCTCGCCGTATCTCACACCTGGTCGCGTCGCATCCTCTCGGTCCCGCCCGATACACCCCAGAGTCCCATATAGCTCAACCCCAAAGCAAGCATGGAGCAATCTCCTCAAGGCTCTGCGCAGCAGGGCAGACAACAGCCGCAGCCGATTTATGATGTTAGAAATGGGGGTCATTATGGTAAGTTCCAAGTTTGTCATTGCGCCAAAGCTACGCGCCAAAACCTCGCACCGAGGTCCGTTAAAGGGCTATTCTGCTGGTTTAGTTGCTACCTCTTGGCTACGCAATCGATTCAAATGGAAGCTGACAACATCCATCATTTATAGGTGCTAGCGCAGCGGTATGTCCATCGCGGTGAGCCACGCGGGTCTTACCACCTTCACTCTACGATGATCATGCGGAATATCTTGAGTAGCAACTAATCAAGTTGGGTAAAAATAGCTCTCAGCGCAAGGTTATGCGCCAGTCGCCGAGTTGTACACTGGTACCTGGGCCAACGTAAGCTCCTGAGATGACCAGACAAATATCGAGCTCTGATACTCACCTGAACTAGGTAAACCAAGGCCTTCAAGGAACTGCACGTGATATCTTGACGACCTACTGGCAACATGTCATCAACCATCTGGAGTCAGACAACCATGACTACAAAATCCACCAGTTGCCATTGGCCCGTATCAAGAAGGTGATGAAGGCGGACCCGGAGGTCAAGATGATCTCTGCAGAGGCGCCCATCTTATTTGCTAAGGGTTGTGATATTTTTATCACCGAGCTGACTATGCGTGCCTGGATTCACGCCGAGGACAATAAGCGTCGTACCCTCCAGCGATCCGATATTGCTGCCGCTCTGTCCAAATCCGACATGTTTGACTTCCTGATTGATATAGTTCCCCGCGAAGAGGCGACCTCTCATGCCAAGCGGTCGAGCCAGACTGCCGGTACCGCCTCAGGACCTTCTGCTGCCCCCGGTCAGCTTCCCCCTGCCCCGCATGGGGTTCAACAGCACCAACATATGGGCCCTGCCGACTATGCCCTTGGCCAGCACGGTATGCCTCAGGAACAGGAGTACCGCCCGCAACCTGGCATGTACCCCGGAGCTGTTCAAGACCCAGGTGCGGCATATGGTCAGCCTCAATCCCAAATGTTCGAGGGGATGTACGCCTACCCGCATCTCCCTCCCCAGCAGGTATAGTTGTATATCTCATCTTCAGCAGACAAAACTAATTATGATTGTCAAGTGAACCTGATATCAGCCAATGGTCTAGTCCGTCATTTCAATTTAGTTCATACGCGTTTCAAGGCGAATTTTGGTCTGTTTTCTTTTTTTTATTGTTCTTATTTGATTCTTCTATTGTTATATTTTCCCACGCACGGCAATGACAACGCTGTAGAGTGGTGATTGAGCGACCCTGATATTTCTGATATTTCTGATGTCTCGGGATTTTTTTATATGCGGAGTTTTGATCCTGGCCAGAAAAGAAGAAACCATATGTGACATTCTGACTGTTGTGTGTGACTTACTTTGTTGATTGTTAGCAGTATCATGTATATTCCTACATCTTGTGCAATAAATCAAATCTACATCTCTTGCAGTTTTTGGAGTAAGCCGAGGTTACAATCTGAGAGACAAGAGACATCCTCAGTATATGGTAGGTATGCTTCTAGCTGTATTTCTGGATTCCCAAGAGGTACTTCATGGTTGTAGTGAAACATTGCATTACCCATAACACACCATGGATTTATCCAGTCTTCTTGAAGCGGGATGAAAGAGTCGCAAACTTATCCACCTTAGTAGGGGCTTGAACACTCCGTGTAAGCCTATTCACAAATAGTTAGTAGGTAGTTCATAGCAATGAGATATAGCTTTCGAATCGTACTTTTCAAGCAAAATGGGCCCTTGCATGGCATCAACGCGTCCATATTTCTTGTTCCTCGTGGAAATGTCATAAAACTCATCTGCGCTGTCCGCTTGCATCAACTGTACGGTTTGCTGTAACTCGTCGAGGTTCTCGCGAAGAATTGGGACATTTAAGCTATCCACAAATTCGGCAAGATATTCCACATCTTTTGCCAATGCTGCCACTCCGTTGGGGTTGATTTTCTTCACATCTGGGGACAGTGGTTGCGCCTGTATGGTCTGTCAGTAAGTCCCTTTTTCAATTGATTGGGGTTCATAGAAAACCCACCAAAATCATGTTAGCAGCATGGCTAAGGGCATCAAAGTAGATGAGCTCTTTGATTTCCGTCGGCAAACCCAACAATGTGGAGTTCATGATGTTGGACAAAAATCGAGTCAAGGTTTGCATGTAATTGCTCGGCTCTGTGGGAGGTGTAGGGGACATCCACTCGTACTCTGCTGTCTCGATAAGGTCATCGATTTTGGAATTGACTACCTCGAAGATACGCTTCTCAGCTGCCTTCTTGTTGCTTTTGAACTTTTCAGTAGCCCTCAACGCGATTGAGGTGCCGGTGGAATTCTGTGATCGGGCTGCTGCCAATAAGAGTTCCAGCTCGCGGCAAGCTAGCTCGAAGTGTTCCAGGTTAATAAGAATCTGAACGATTTGGCCTAGATATTGTGAGGAAAGACGCTCTACTAAAGTATCACAGACTTTTTGTGAAAGGAGGTCATCCAGATCCTGCTACATTAGTAGTCGAGTCACGGGTCTTGGGTGTGCTGGTTCGAGCTCACATTCTTCAGTGTCTCATCAATCACATTTGTATTTGCGAAACCATCATTTGCGAAGAAATAGAACTGGTTCAGGAAATTGCGGATGTCAATGCAACACAGAGGATACATTCGGGAAAATGGTAGGATGCATGGGAATCTAAGCCAATGATCAGTTAGATCTGAATAAGGATCAACTGGCCTAGGCTGATTCACAACTTACACTTGCTCCTCACGTGGTTGTTCGGGGCTGTACCAGCTGACGTTGAGGACCTTGTCATGCTCCTCTTGGGTCTGTATGGGCATGGGCATATAATCATCCGTTGATACAATCTGGCAATGTCAGAATTTAAAATAGATCGATGGAAGGGAAACAGCCCTACCTCCTGGAAATCATCACTGAATCTCTTCTTCAGAAGTTCGGCATATTTGCCAAAGAGTGTCAGCAAGAAGTCATCAAAGACCCGCACGGGGAAGTTCCACGTCTATTATATAGTCAGCTATTTGAGCCCAAGCCAATAGAGATGGGCTTGCCCACATTCATCGTCTGCATGAACAGAGCAATCAGATTCTTGATGTTGAGAATGCTCTCAGCGTTGTCAACTTCATGAAGTGCTTTCGATATTAACACTACAGCCGCTTGGCACATCGAGTCCCACAGCTCATCAATCTATTTAGCATAGGTCAGATAATTCCTAGAAGGTCCCTCCTTGAAAAGAGGCTAAAGGGAAAGAGGATATGGCTTCTTACGTCGACAGATGACCTGAGATCGGGGGCTCTTTTCATTGTGGCCCGTTCGACAATGGCAAATCCAGCCATCTCTTCCAAGAGATTGTGCAGACTAGAACCATCTTCATCAACAAGGGTGATGGAAGACGGAAGCAAGAGCTCTTTTTGTCTTCGACGGGTGGTCGCGTATTCAATTCGGAATTTATCCATATGTCCCAAAGATTGATGGATATGCAAGCACTCGAACAGCGGTGTGAAGTCGACTTGCAGGTCTTCATTCTGGAGCAGGTCATACTCTTCATCTTCATCAGACACCAGTTCGATCGCAGAGTTCAAATTGAAGTGTTCCAGGTAAGGGATTTTTTGCGCTCTTTGTTTTTGTCTTGTTTTCCGCTGGTCTGTGTGGAAAAGCGCAATTTCCCCGAGGTATTGAGACATTTCTCGGATGCGGTAAAGCCAGGTGTTGAGATCTGACATCACTGCTTCCGCAATGGCCCTCTGTGTCGCTGGAACTGAGCGTTGTATCATGACTGCAATCTTGTATTGTGTCACCCCCTTCAGATGGACATTTTGCAATTCCTCCAGCGCCCGCAGCGCTGCGTAGTGGTTCTTCTTTGCCAAGAGGTCATGGACTTGGTTGGCTAGACGCAATACCTCCAAGCAATCCTGAATGGCGCGACTGGTCTCATCGATGTTCTGTCGGTGGCCACGCGACTCCACTAGTGCTTTCTTCTGCTCGGCTAGACGTTCGGTACTGGTTTGAATAGATTGATTCAAGTCCAGAATTTCTCCTGTCAAGCTTACTGTCCCCTCTCTAATCCGAAGGAGTGAATTGACAGATGAGACAAACTCCTGGTGATTTGTGTTGCATATACTTTCGATCTCGGACTCCTTGTCGCCCGCGAACCGGGACAGTGACTGCAGGAGTTGTGGAGTGCGGTTCCCAACACTGTAGTCTCTGATTGAGGGAATGAGCTGGTCCAGATAGTCTGTGTCAGAGGGTGAGATAATAATCTATAGGGACAAGAAGTCAGTTTCGTTTAGGTACATTCTCCATGTTGTATAGGCTGGCTCACTTGGTTCAAGACATGTGGCTCATTGAGCATTGGAGCCATGGGTGGCATAATGGCTCAGCTTCATAGCCAGAGATAAGCCCAATAGTCTCAATACTTCTCCACTTGCAGCTTGCAACCTTACATGTATCCAGGGATGATCTCAAGCTTATGTTACTCGTTGACGTCCGTAGGCGGTCAAATGTTCGATCTGCCGCTTTCTAAAAGGCTAATCCCACTCTGTACTAGCGTTATCACTAGCCTGAACCTTAGCCATATCAAGTGTATAACAATCTTCCTTTTCCTTCCTTTTCCTTTTTCTATATGCCATGGTCTCTTTGTTCTTTAGCATTGTTCTACCACAATTTGCTCAATATTCTTAGCAGCCGAGAGACTATGGGACCAACGCATCTGATAACCACCTTATTTACAAAGTAAGACAGAGAGCAGTGATCTCCCACACTGCTGACAAGCGACATGAAACTTCTCATTGAGAAAGATATGAATTGGATGATTGTGATTTACTATCTATGGCTGGTCTGTAATTGTGAACAAGATCATTTACTATGATAATATCGCTGATAAAGGATCACAGCGAGTCATCCCACGGGCCTTGTATGAAGATTGGAGACACTGTGATAGTTAGTGAAGGCTACTAGAGAACCAACAAGATAAAGGACGACTCATGCGCTCAACTAGGCTTTGGTTTACTCCCATTGGGGGCCAGTCATTGAATCTTTGTTGGGACTTCGTTCGTTCGTCGTTCGTTGGGATCTATTCAGCGATATCTTGATCGCACTTAGTGAGTCGCTCTGCTGCGCTGTGGTCGAACTCAATGAGTCGCTCTGTCGCGGTGTCTTGATCGCACTTAATGAGTCGCTCTGCCGTTGCGCAATCACATCGTCCCATTGGTTCTCTCGAAACGTACCCCCGAGTATGAGTCGCGGTCTTGACATAAAAGGACTGTGCCCACCAACGATTCCTCTCTTCTCTTTTATTTCCCGTGGCTCTTTTTTTTTTTTGAATCTTGCTGCCATTACTGCTACTTTCTATCACTAAGGTCACACTGCGCTCTCCTCGCTGCTTGGACTGAACAACTTGCTAGCTTGTATGTCTACATGTCTTTCTAATATGACTCTCGATTCCTGACCTTCTCATTGCTTTAGTATTAAACATGGAGGGGTCTTCTCCAACTCGAGGATCGCCATCGAAGCAGCTTACTGCATTCAATCCGATGGGGTATGATGCTTTTGCTAACCGAGCCAACCCTGGCTCCCTTCCTGGAATGGCGACCATTCGTCCGACTAGGTAAGATACTTGTCCTGGTTTTATATATTGATGATCCAAGCCCTAAGTACGTTAATGTGTTATAGTGATCCATTTGCTGGTTGGATTGATGAGAAAGGGCCTGCGCCTAGCATCCCTTCGTCTCAAACTACCACTGCAAGCTCTGCTTCTTGCTATGCCTATCCAGTGCCTGCTACCATTGACCATGCGAACACTCGCACCTCAGGCAACGAGTACAAGTACTCGCCTGTTTCGCCTCGGGTGACTCGCACCCACGCAGCTCGCGCGTCAATTGGCCAATTCCAGCCCTCGCCTGTCTCACCCCAGGTGTCCCCTGCAGGAGCTGGTCCCGGTGGAATGCTATACTCGCCTTCCCGTGCCCAGGCATCTCGGTCGCTGGATCAAACTCAATACTCGCCTCATTCGTTGACTCGCACTCAGGCGCGTTTGGCATCTGAGTACTCTCCTGTTCAGGCAGGTATTCCCAATGTTCGGTACTCACCATCCCGTGACGACATTAACTATGAATACAATCCGACACCGGATTTTTTATCTAGATTGCTCGCAGCCGCTGATTCTGCCGTTGGAGATACCAATGTTGCCTCCCCTACCAATGCACTGGCCCATATCTCCCCCAGTAACCAAGCTCGTCGTGCCACTGGTACAACCGACGCGTCTCCACGATCTCCCGCCGGTGGAACTAATGATGTTGTTGAGAAGCATCGCAGCTTTATTGTGCAGCATGTCCCTCTCGACACCCCCCACCGCTCTATTGTCATGATGTTCCCGGTAAGTTACAATATGATCTCATGGGATGGACCAAAGCTGACTTTAACAAGATTGAGGAATATCCTTCCCTTGAGAGTGTTTGTCTCAAGCACCTTGAGGCTAGGGGCGTCTTTTCTTTCTCGTTTGGCGATCTTCGGGAGGCCGTCCACGCCATGAACAAAATCCGCCTAACTCGTCCTAGCTGGCGCGTCTTCCCGGCCAGTTACGACGACATTGCCACTTTCAATGGAACCAATGGAACCAACGGAGCCGCTTCCCCTGTCTCTGTGCCTCAGGATGGTGCATTTCTGCTTTTTGTGTACACCATCCCAAGCAAGTGGCTCGTGGAGCCCGTGGAAGAGATTGTCAACCAAGTCGTCGCTTCCCTTGGCACCCTGCGCTCTTGCAAGCTTACCGAGAATGGAACGAGCATGAGTCGATACCAAGTCGAATATTTCAACAAGCGTCATGCAGCTTATGCTTTTTCCTGCCTCGGTGGGTTCAGGCTTGATGTATGTTGTTCTTTTTTTTCCTTTTTTCCTTTTTTACTTGCTTTTGTGTTCTTTGAAAGTGAAATGCTAATATTGGGTTTCTGCAGAGTCTTCATTTCAATGTTTCTATTGATGCACGTGAAGAGGTTCCTGTTTTGCCTCGCTATCGAACTGCCAGCTTTGGCTCCCCTCGGAGCCCTGTGACACCGTACCACCTCGTGTCCAAGGAAAACGAGATCGACGAGAAGGTTGACATCTCTCCAGTTTCTGGTGAAGGTCAGACGAGTGGAGAGCATGCTATTGACCTTGACCGAATCAAACAAGGACTAGATGTTCGCAGCACCGTAAGTCTTCTCCCATCTGCTGTAAGACCGGTTTCTCACATTTTGTCTCGTTACAGGTTATGATACGCAACATTCCCAACAAAATCACTTCGGTATGATTATCTCCGTTGTCTTATAAAAATCAAGAAGGCTAATGTTATCATTCAACAGGACCAGTTGAAGACTATCCTGGACGAGTCCAGTCATGGGAAGTATGACTTCCTCTACCTGCGCATGGGTAAGTGCTTCTCCATGGTTTATTGTCTTGTTCATACTAATTCGATCCACAGATTTTACCCATCATTGCAAGTAAGTTCTGATTGCTTGATCATTGTTGGCTTCCAATTTTACTTACCATTTGTCCTTCTAGCGTTGGTTATGCGTTCATGAATTTCGCTGATGTGAGTATTTTTTGCTGGCCTTACTTTCGTCCGACATCCTTTTCATCTGATGTCTCTTTTGTCTGACATTATACTAACATAACTTACAGGCAATTGACATTGTCGACGTGAGTTATACCATGGATCAGTGTGTGACATGTACTTACCAATTTTCCTTAGCTCGTGCACGCTCGAGAGGGCAAGGCTTGGTATGCTGCTTCCTATCTTCCCCCAAAAAGTGCATGTTCGCTGACTCGAGACAATTACAGGCCCGACTGCATCTCCGAGAAGATAGCTCAAGTTTCTTACGCCAGTTTGTGTCCCATCCATAGTCAGTGGGAAGATTATCTAACAAGTTTCAATAGCACTTCAAGGCAGGGAAGCTCTTGTGAATAAGTTCCGAAACAGCAACGTTATGACCCGTCCTCATGAAGAGCGACCTCGAGTAGGTTTAAGCTTCCACCCCCCGATTCCGGTGCCGGTATTGACTGAATATAGCTCTTCCATGTCGACGGCCCCCGTGCAGGCACCGAAGCGACTTTCCCCGGCCCCAATGATGCCAGTAAGCTCCGTCGTTCGGTTGCTAGCACCACTCAGCAAGGTAAGATATTGTGCCCTTTGGCTTGTGGACGTATTCTGACCCTTTCACAGGCCTCTATTCACCCCGGAAACGAGCTCCCAGTACACCTCGCTCCAACCGCACGCGTCCTCAGTCTGGATCCTTCAACCAGACTCCTCGGAGTCGACCATCGTCGATTCGCACTCCCCGGCACTCTGGCGGACGCTCGGTCCAACATGGTCCTGGCGAGTTTTCTCCGATGAAGTCATCTCCGTTGAAGGCAGAGGACCGTCAATTCAAGCCGGAGAAAAATTAAGCTCCTCCTACAGGGACTATGCGAACGGGGCATACTACAGCAACTGGACATGACATTCTGTAAGCCAATGGTTCCTGACTGATCAGATTGTTTCATACGTACACAATGACAGGCATGGAGTCTCGCGACCGCTTTGTTTATTGAATTATCCGACAAAATCCAAAAAATAACAAAAAAAGAAACAAATTCGACAGATGATGCTACACTGACAATTGCATTCTCTTCCCTCTTTGCTTCTTCAACATCCTCGATTATTCCTCTACATCACGACAGAGGGACTCATTCAGAGGCAACGGCAAAGGGAAGAGTTGCTCAGAATGGCTCGGTGCAAGCCTTGCCTACTCGCTGTTTCAAAGCTGAGATTGCACATTTCGATGGTCTTTCGGAATTGTGCCTTTAATTGTGATCTCTCTCGATTCATTGCTCGAGCTTTTTTCCCAGCTTTTTTCCTTTTCATGTTTTCTGCGTCTGCTTCTTATTCTTACTCTTTCTATTTCGAAAATCCGAAAATCCAAAAACAGGGGATGGAGTTAGTCAAATGAAATGGATAGTTATTGTCTCCCAGTCACTCACAAAGTAGACTGGTAAAACCGTAGAATCCACGGGAAAATCTTTTCATCTTTTCCATCTCACCAACATGGACTCCAAGGAAATCCTGGAAGTCCACTCAATGCTACATCTGGTCTTTCATCGCAACAAGAATCAACATCGCCGAACAAAATGGTGGAAATGGCTATCCATTTTGAAACGCGCCACTTTGGATTCCGCCCGATCGGGGGTGAACACTCATCTGGCCACGCACGTAATCCCAAGATGTTACATGTATGATAAAAAGAAAAGTCCTACGTGGAACAATCAAGCTAACTGTATTCTTAGCGCTTTCTCAACTATCGTTGCCGATAACCAGTTCTCGACCCTTGGAATCGTACTTTTAGCTGCGTTGGCCCGACTGTCCAAAGTCACCGGGATCAGTCACCAGCTGAAGATGCAACCTGTGACAAGGTCCAAGATTTCTCCTGTCAAGAAAGATCGGGAAGATCTTGGGGAACGCATTCGTCGCATTGACAATTCGTCAGTCACCCCGGTCAAGATTTCCCAGTCTGATTTCAAGGTCCCCAAGGCCTCCAAGGTTTCCGAGAAGCCCACGGAAAAGCCTACAGATGACGCTGTTTCAAAAAGTACATCGAAAAAGAAGAAGAAGAAGAAGAACGCTATTGATGACTTATTCAGCGGTTTATTTTGAATCTCATACCCCTCTTATATACAGTGTTTTCTTTTCTTTTACGGATTCCAAGGGATGTCCAGGCATGTATTTTGAAGCTAAAATGTTTATGAAGAATGACGAGATCGCGATCGAGAGAAAATAACCTCGCCCAATAAATTGACACCAACATGATTGGCAGTGGCCCACGCCATACTGTAGAGATACTTGGGCGAGAAAACGGTCCAGATGAAAAGATGCGTCCGGAGGGCTGTACAGGCGGCCATGACAGAAACCAAGGACACGGCAACATGAAAGGTCAACAGTGCCGAGGGGTCTTGTCCTACGGGACTCTTCGGCCGGAGACGATGGCTTTGTGATGCCCACCAGATAGGCCCTGCCCAGTTGCTCGCAAAGGTGAGAACTCCCACTAACACCACGCTGTAGCTGTCAACACCGTTATATCCACTAGCAAGGTCCACAGAGGAGATTGCATTGGATCCGCCAAACGCGAAGAACGTCATATATTGGAAGATCAAGGTTGTGATTGTCACCTCAATCCCTGTGAGGTTCATGGAAGAGAGAATGCCGGCCTGGATTCGGAAAATCAGGAACAGGGGGACGTTAGTGGCACGGGACTGCGTCATTAGGAAGATGTGCAGAGCTTCATGGATTGTATCATATGGTACTACAGAGTCTGGTCAGTAATGACCTCCAAGCTCAGAGGCAATCTAGCGCATGTGTGGGCTTACCTCGGGGGACTCTTGATCGTTTTCCGGCAAAGAGCGATAGCAGGACAACGACAGCAAGTCCGTAAAACACGAGCCTAGCATGCAAAACCAATGATAGACTGTAGGGCCATTCCTTCATGATTTGCGAAATGAACGTCCCATCAAGGAGTTCGGGCGATTCCGAAGTCACAAAGTGCAATTTGAACGTAAAGGCCAACATGGCAGGGGCCAAGGCACCTAGCTTCAATATTCCAGAGATTGGTATACTCCCGAGAAGATGACGACCGGCATCCACGTACGCGAGGATAAAAAGACCCCAGAAGACTTCCGGGTGGCGTGCAAAGAATGTGCGAGCAATATCAGGCTCGGCCGCGAATTTCTGACCAGTTTGGTTCCATCGTCGCAAGAGCCGCTGAGTGATGGCGAGCACAAGAATGATACATTTGTCAGACCAATATAATAATGATCCAAAGCGTTTGTGTGAGAGCGGCTTTGCAGACGATTGCGATTTGATGTGCAGGTAGACAATCCACCCCGAGCAGATCCAATACCAGAACTGCTGCTCTTCTTCCACATAGCTACTAGCAAACATCATCATCCCACAGGTGATGATCATAAGCGTCAAAAACATCCCGGAAGATCCGTGACGTGTGCATTCCTTGTATGTGGCCGGAAGGACAAGCAGGCCTGCAATCCCCGTGATCAACAAGCCCAGAATGAGTCTGGAGACATCGTAGTTACTGGCAGTACGACTCATAACCTCCTGTGCAATCCTTAAAAATTGCAGCAAAGCGGGGCCAGCTGTAGAGTAAGAATCATCTGCTTCATCCCTACCTGAGAGAAGTTGCTGGACTCGAGCCCACGCACATTGAGCTCCCTCAATACCTGATGGAAGTCCTGAAGCACAGGATGTAGTACTATCGGGGCCAAACGTAGATCCAGGGAATGTTGTTGTCAACGTGTTCAGCAGCTGCTCGGCATTTTGATATAAGATTCGAAGTTTATGAGAACCTGTTCCCGAGTCAGTTCCGGATCTTCTTTCGCTTGGCCGCCATTAGGAATAGATTATATACCATGATCCCACATCTCTAAAAAGTCTGGGATGAATACCCCAAGACTGTTTAAAGGAATTGGGATACCAAGAAGCCCCGCCAAGGTTGGAGCAATGTCCGCCTGCTCAACCGTTTGGTAGTACTGCATATCACCCGACGGTTCCACTGGGCTTTCTCTTCGGCCACCCAAGGCTTCAAACTTGGGTGAGATGAAAAGTAACGCGGGGGATGTTTCTCCAGCAGATGACCCGCCATGGTTTCCAGCCTCGTTCATGCCATGATCTCCGCACAACACGAAAAGTGTGGATTGAAGATGGTCTTGTTGCTGCATTGCGGTATAGATTTCAGTCACCACAGAGTCCATCTCGTGCTGTTTCGGTATCATGAATGGACTAGGAGAGTTAGAGGATAGAGAGCAGCTAATAATGAAATCGGGAGCTGAATTTACCTTTTGGGGCCAGCCTTATGTCCTATGTGATCAAGACCTAGGTAATGCATTATCAGAGCAGACCAGTCATCCCGGGCAAGCTCGTGAGGAACGTGTCGAGTCACATTATGGTCTACTTCCGTGAAGTCCTGCGAGGAGAATCTCAGTTTCAATACTAATACTGCGGATACACAAACACCTAAAGTACAACTGACCGACACGAAGAAGCTTGTAGTTCCATCAGCTCGGTCAAACATTCCCGGGAAGAGCTTGAGCCAGGTATCATCCCCATACATCACAAGCCGTCCTCCTGTAGCCTTCAATTGTGCCAACCAGGTGTCCTGGTATGCCAGTGTTGACGAGGTATCCGATTCTGCGATATTGAGAATAACATCTAGAAAAGATGGAACTGAACCAGTTGTGATAGCTTTTAATCGAGGCATTGTGACAGTTGGAGCGCTTGCATAGGCAGTGAATGGCAATGCAGCACCGGACCGGATCAAGCTAGTATCCAATCAGTCACTTATTTCGAACGAAGAAATGGTGCATTTCAAAAGCGACACCCACCTCTGTGTAAACAAGAAACCCGACTCGTTCGAATATACAAAGTCGCTATATGTGAGCATCTTGTTAGTTACTGATATAGCTCGGAGTTGAATTATTCAAATTATACCTCCTCAGCGCATCAACAACCATGAAGATAACTTTATCAAAAGCCGCAGGCACTGTGACATTCTCGCCTGTTTCATCAAAAGTCGCTAATCCAGGGATCAACGGTTTATAAGGGAAGAACCCTGAAGAGAAGGTGAGTATGCCCACGGGCACCAGCAAATTGGCAATGACTGTCGTCCAACTGTGGAAGCCCGCCATTTTGCAAATTGACTTGATGTTAGCTCTGGCAGAACAAATTTTATGTAAAGAGACCCCGAATCAGCTGCACATGTCGAACTGTCCGGGGGATCCAAAGGGAGGCAGAATTATATTTATGATCGTCGCGCATCACCACACCGCCTTCTCGAGTACCTTGTACAACATTAGGTATAGTTATTGTAATACTATTGACATTACTTCAACGATTCAACAATCATTCAGGGGCTAGAAGTTAACAGTGCCGGATGAATGCATGAACTAGCCAACTGATCTTGATTAGGGTTGCTTGTCGGTGAATTAAGAATTAGATCTATATCGACCCTGCTCCAGCCACAGTGTGCTAGGGTTGCTTTTCTTCCACTGAGCAAAATCCAATATGTCAAGCCTTGAATGAAAGGTATGGTATATCAGGCACAGACTATGAAACATATGTACGTGAATTGCAGGTGTAATTGTAGACTCCCAAACGCCTTTTTCTTCTCCGCCACCACATCTCGTCAAATCTATTCATTGCTCTCACTCGGCACAGGCCTCACTTCCTCTTGGGTCCCTTCTTGGTCGTAGAAAGACGCTTTTGAAAGACAATCGAGTTGCGGGGCTTCTGGTTGCGCTTTTGCACACGTGCCGGCTTCTTCTTAGAGCTCTTGATTGCGTCGATATCCATCTCTGTGTTGGGTAAGCGTTCTGCAGTTCAAAGCAAAAAGTGACGATTCAAACGC